GCGCGGCGAATTACGATCCTCTTGTCACATACCCTGGGGCAACACTTCTACTCATAATCAGCGCTCCCCAGTAAATTCCAGAGCACGAACTGCGGCGTTAAACAGTGACTCCGCGGTAGTCATACCAGTTCTCACGGAATTCATCAGCTATTTTCGCAAGAAACAGGCATTTCTGTAGAGATTTTCTCCACATTTCGTGACAAGTGGTCACCCTTCCCGAGTCGAACTGCTATCTGCTCATGCTGAGTTCCATTACTTCTACCACCCCAGCGTTTTATCCAGTGTAGTATCCTGACATTGAACCTATTATCCTAACGGATGGGTTGTAATTTGCTTGACTGTTAGCCCAATCGAAACATCGCTTTTTTTCAAGACGAACGCATGGTTTCACTGGAGGCGATTTGAAATCGTTAGTCCTCGCCTCCCGCTTCACAGAAGGGCGAAATGATAGCGAGAAGCTGGAGAATGCTCGAAAGCGTGTACGGCCGACAGGAATTCGGCAGTTCATTCTAGAGGTTTGCAGTTCTGTACAAGAAGAAGGTGTATACTAGTAGGAGAACGTTAGTGGAATGTTTAGGTGCCTCACGTGAGCTGGGATGACATTGGAGGTAGTGATGAACTAAAACTTGAAATTCAGCAGGTATACTGTTTGTTTTCTTTTCTTCTCCATCTTTGGTGTAATTGCGAGAACATAATTGGTATAATATTTCACGTTTTAGGCTGTAATTTGGCCACAAAAGCATCGAGACGCATTTGAACGACTCGGCATTGATCCTCCTTCAGGTGTGTTTCCATACTGCTAATTCCAATATTCTTGGTGAGATTTCTCAAGTGACACACGTCTAACGCGTGCGATATGTATGAAGAGGGGCGGAATGAAGCCCCTTCCGGCTTCCTTGCTCTACCGGTAGTGATCGTTTGGTGGTCGATTTCAGAAAAAACAACCAGTGGTGGAAACGCCGCCGGTGGGCTCGTTCTCACCCCACCCTGAGCGATCGCGACGGAATCAACCGTACATATCGGTTGTGGAAGTCAGCGACATAGGAAAAGTAGCGAATCGCATGAGCGGCTGCACATTCTCCCACTCAACATCTATCTGATCCTTTACGCGATGGCGCCGGGTTTGCCCGAGCAGTTCGCCGATTCTCCCTATTGAGAAGTGTGAGGACCAACTCGCCAGTGCGGCATTTCTCCGATTCGTCAGGATTGCAGATTGTGAACTATGCTCTAGGATGTAAACCAGGAAAGTAGGAAATACGTCTCTCTGCTTGTCCTGAAAATCGTAGAGTTAGATGTAAGTGTAAAAGCTTGGAGTTCCGGTTGAATTGTTCAATGCTTTGCTCGCGATGCTCCTGTATTCGTGTCGTCCCAGCTCTCTGGAGCAGGAAGAAAATCTCTAGAAGTACCCTACCTCCTCTAGGGAGAAAATAAGTGAACTATAAGGGTAATCAACTAAGGTGAAACTTTACTTCTTAGGAATCTTACTGTATGGGCCGCCTGGCTGTAGCAAGACATTGGTTGCTCGCGCTCTTGCTAGTGAGTCGAAGATGAACTTCTTAGCCGTGAAGGGTCCAGAACTGTTCAGCAAATGGGTAGGAGAATCGGAGAAAGCGATTCGAGACCTGTTTTCCAGAGCAAGACAAGTAATTTTTTTAAAGTGCTATCAATTACTGCCACACATTTGTGTCTTCCGATAGTTTGTTGTTTAACTTGCAGGTAGCGCCAACGATTGTATTCTTCGATGAAATTGATGCGGTTGGAAGCTCGAGAGGATCCGAGAAAAGTTCTGGTGGGTCAGACAAATACAGCTTCTCTCATTGAGAACTACTGAGTGACATAAACTCGGCAGAAAAAACTCATGTTCAGGCGTTTCTGATCGCGTCCTTGCCCAACTTCTTACTGAACTTGATGGGCTTGAAAAACAGAGCGGTGTGCTCTTGCTTGCTGCGACTAACCGTCCGGATCAGCTTGATAGCGCTTTGCTAAGACCTGGTGAGTTTTGAAAAGAGATATTCTGACATTGTGTTATATTAACCCCAGTGCGTTATGGGCACGCGCCATGTGCTGCGCCATGTGCTTCGCCCATAACGCACTATGTGCAGCGTGCAAGACCTCGGAAGAGAATTGCGCCAAGATTTATTAGGCTCTATTCCTGGAGGAAATCACCAATATACGTTTTCTTAAGTGGAAATCAAGTTCTTCCGCTTTGGCTAATGGTATTAATGCCAGATGGCGCTGTTTGGCTCTGAGGGAGGGGAGGCAATTTTTTAGTTTTCGTCGGCTTGGACTTGTAAATTCAGGTGAGGCTGCGAGATGGTTTGTAAGGGCTTGACTTATATGAAGGTTATACAAACAACCATCCACACTAAAGGTCATACCACTTCGCACGTTCGCAAGCGTTTGCAGATCTCATTAAGGTGATGAAACTGTAGGGAAACAAACGGTCATCGGCGAAGCCCGTACAGGCCATCTGAAGACCTGTAAATTCTTTTAGCCAAAGGGTTCACTCGTATCAGCTTTCGCAGCTTTACACCAGTTCACAAGTTTTACCATAGTGAGACCTGTTAGTTAACACGAACTAGCTAAAGGAACAAGCCAAAGTGGCCCTCCCAAGCCGAACTGCGTCAATTTTTTTTGTAAATAACATCGATGAATAAGTTAGATATGCATAGAACGCAGTGCGGTGGTCTGTTATGAATTTTTTTTATATTTCATTTTTTGAA